AGACATCACCCACATCAGCTTTTTTATAATCTTTCATATGTCAACTTGGTAAAACAAAATTCCACTTATCACATGAGAGTGTGTCCATGAAATGATACGAATCAGCACAGATTGCCTGAAGCTACAAATGTTGTATTCTCACTGACTACAAAGTATTCCCATTGCCAGCAGCGAGGGAGATGACAGGTCCTTATTGTTTTCAAACATCTGATAACAAAATCTACATCTAGCCTCAGGGCAGTTACCTCACAATGAATAACCAAATGTGAAGGAAAACGCTCATTTTGAGACAAACTGTCTACATGTAAGACTGAATTCCACTTTTGCAGATAGACTCATATAAGATTTCACAGATTGTATCACACATAGAAATATATTCATCATATTAACATATTAATTTATTCACTAAAACAACCACAGCTACTTACAACAACAAAAACACTCCACAGCCAAACCCTCTATGTACTAGTATTTACTTGACGAGAGTATATGCTACTAAACTTCTATCAAACTCAGATTGAAGCTTTAAGCAATTCCCTATTGTGCAGGTAGATAGTGAAGGAGTAATCAACGATGCTGAGGCAGGAGTGGGAGGTTGGGTGTCGAGCAGAGGAAGTACTATGCAAGCAGAATGTCAGAAGATGCCCCCAAATTAAGCCCCACATGAAATGTTGTCTCAAAGCCCATGTTTGTCAGTTTGCTCAATGTGAGAGCACATCGTGTTAATAAAACAATCTGTTTGACCAAGGAGAAATAGCCTGCTTGATTGACAAAATCAACCCAAAGAATTCATTATTTGATTTGCCTGTGAGGTAAATCCTTCTAACCAACTGTCACAGAAATCCAGATGCTGTTAAGATTACCTATAATAAATACAACTGTAGGTAGTGGCCACGGAAACAGAAGTAGTGGCCAGGAAAGTAGTAGCTTTGGTTGAGTTGCTGAATGATGGCGGATGTTCAAGTATGTTTATTATGCATGGTATGCCTATCATTCACAAACTCCCTAACAAACTACGAGGATTTGTCAGTGAATTCTAAAATACCAGAAACAACTCCACAGAGAACCTCCTGGCAGTTGTTCTACACAGGCAGAAGAATCAGGGCATTGTTTTCAGTACAAATTGCTCAAATAATGAAATAGTTTCAATTTTTATTTTATCTTAGTTACCTAGTATTTCTATAGGTAAACAGTTGTCATCAGAAACGCATGTAAAACAATGAAATACCTTATAATACACATTCATGTACTGGTAACTCCAACTCAGGTTATCAAAATGGTTTACTCATCATCCCAGAGAGACATTAGGAAAGAAGCTTCCTCTGTGCAAACCACCAGATGCCAGCATTACCCCCTGCTCGCCCTTCCTATATCCCCGTTATCCCCCCCAATCCCTTCCCAATTTCATCCCCATGGGTCTAAACGATTCCAGACTGGAAGATGATATTTTATTGGCAACTTTAGCTTGAGAGTCGGAAGAAACCATAACAATCTATACAGTTGCCCTTATTGTACAGCTCCATGAATTATAAATCTGCCCACCATCCCACGCACTCTATCTGTTTTTACACATGATAAATGACAAACCGATTATACAAATTAAGTTGAACAAAAACAAGAAATATAATTCTTAAGACAAAAAAATACATGCTTCAGCTACGACCAATTGAAATACACTGACCTATGCGTTTTTGAAGTTACATACTTTCTGCGAACTTTCAAGCTCTGTTGTATAAAGATACTGTTGTGTAAAGATAAACACTCAGTTTCAGGTTCAGTTGGATTCACGACAGGATGGACCTGTACAGGTGAACCAGAAAGTTTATATTATTGCCTGCTGACCAGTCTGGACATTGCAAATCAAGTCAAATAGCCAATGGCTGTGATACTATCAAAGTTTGTTTAGAATCACTGCGGAAAGGCCAGAGGAAGCAAGATGGCTGCAGGCTAGTCCACTGATTGAGTTATGATGGAGATCCACATCTGGGAGTCATCTTCGGTTCCTGTTGACCGATCCAACAGGAAGTGACCATGCTATGCTGAATCTGATGATCGCCATGTGTACCAATGGTTTGGGTATGGATTCTACATCATGTGATTTGTAGTGAAATTCAAACTATGAAGTTTAAATGTGTCGCAAGAAAATAGTATTACCCAGCATGCACTAGGAAGCACAACTCATGTTGATGAATCAATGTACAGGGATGCAGGCGATCTTCTAAAGTTCTATAGTAGCAACAGATGCTTACTTTTGATTTCATTAACATGGAGCAACAGAAGTAGTATTTGGAACTTAAAATGTTTCATGTTAGAGAAGAGGCAGTAAGGTGTGGGGTTGTCACACTGAAGGTCCAGGTGTGATTCCCAGCATGTTCGATTGTCTGTCCTCCAAGTTTGTCATCACACAAAAAGTTAAACAAATAAATATTGTTTTCAACACCAACCTGTGTCAAATTATCGTTATCATGATACGTATTGTACATATCGCACCAGCAACCATGGCTATACTTGACCACTAGTGAGATGCCGGATGACTAGGACTGAAGTTTCAATCAGATGCCACCAAGATTGCTTGAGTACACAATGTGCATAAGAGGCAATGCTTAAAATACAAACACTCCCAAATCTTTTCAATCAGTGTAATTAATGTCAGCTAATAATTTCATATGTGGCATTTTGATCATGCTTCAGCAGAGGGCAGCTTAGCAAACTGGGTGCTGCGTTAGTGTCCATTCCAAGATTGCAACCGGGATAGTTTCACAATGTTTGACTTACAATGAATCATCACAGCAACCAAACCCTCCAATTCCCTTCAGAACATAAACAGGATCATCAAAATAGCTTGGAAATAATTATAAAATTAGAACCAGGCCTTTTTCAAATCTAGGAAACGTAAACAACGCTTCCAATGATGGCAAATAGCTTTAACAGTTTTGTTTTTTTCTCACGGAAATGTCCTCATGAAATAAGCCACTGGTGGTTGAACTCTCTGATTCTTACAATAAAGAAGACATTGATGCTAAACTGTCTCATAAATTTCATAAGCATATTCAGTTACTGTGGATGTTAATTTAACAAGTGTCTGAGAAACATCTGGAGCTACACCTACCCAAGAAACCCAATCTACTATTTCCTCAAATATCCCCACGAGTTATGGTTTTATTAGCAGGAATTTTCTTTGGAGTTAGCACTTGAAAGCCCTGCCCATATGAATTGCCACATCCTGTAGGCTCCGCATTGAAACAAAATGCTGAAACAAAGACCATTGTGGACAATCCCATGGACCAACGTACACAACCTTGGCCCTTGTTTCTTTTCGTGAATCAGAATGACAGACAACCACCCACACCCCATTTATGTTTCATAAACTGTTTGTGAAGACAATAAAAACAATGTTTCAATGACAAATTTCATCACAATCTTTATGTAGCAAATAGTCCATAAGTTAAGATACTTCCCATTTGATCGAAAATGTCCAAATTCATTGATATCCTCCCCATACTTAACCACCTGACATGCTGCTATATCTGGGTGAAGTAAATGCTGGTGAATGAATGTTGTGTTAGGTCACAGTAAGTAATACTCCAGTCATTACCATGGCAACCTGTAAAAGATGCAGGCTGATGGCTGAAACCATGAACCACATGGTCAGATACAATTTTTGGCCATACATTGTGACCACCCAGTCATAACTTCACTGATCACTTCTCCCCCATCAACAATGGTGGTACATCCCAAGAAACCTCAGTGTTCACCTCCGTAAAATTTACACTCAGCATACAACCCAGAATGGCACTAATGATCTGGAACACCCATAGCTCACTTTCCTGTGATGTGCACACAACAATGCTTTCTTTCTCTTGCATATTTGGGTTTTTTTACGAGAAATTCTGCTAAATTCCAAACCTACAAACATATTCAATTTAAATAAATTCTTACAATAGTTTCCATCATTGTAACTTATGAATGCAGCTATCTAAAAGAACCCATATTTCTTCTCATGATAAAAACAACTATAAAATATTACAGACCTACACAGGGTTTTACGGGATGCAAGATTCCTGCGTATTGGACACAGAAATTTGGTGAAGTACCCCCAAACTAAAATCCTGTGCGTCCTTGTGAACATATAATTTTTTTCTGGGAAAGAACTTTCTGAGTTTGTAGTGATATCCCATATTAAAATATAAACATTCTATTTACAATCATTATTCTAATGACATTGAAAGTAACACATATCTTAACATAATCATTATCAAATGGGAAGCATTCATTTTCATTGATTTAATGTAAATTGAATGACCCCCAATTTTGGAAATGGACTCTCAAAAATACTAGTATGCTCTGAGTCCCCAGGACTCCCAGTTTCGAAGAGCTATGTAAAACCCTGCTACATGGAAATAAAATATTTATTTCCCTACTTCCCTGGTTAGCTGTCATTTGTTATCAATGCTAAGGATATTAACATATGAGAATCTGCTCTCCACACAACTACATCTAAAATGGCTTGCTGGTTTACCAGTCATTTATGAAGCTTTTCTATGGCTGACGTACATGTCTGCTTATATCCTGTATTCTTGTGAGGACAAAAGAATAACTTATGCCACATGAACCTTGAAAACCAAAAGTATTTGTGAGAGCTCATAACTGATGCAAACATATTCAGCAGGCATGTGTACCAAGCCACTCATTATGGCTATAATCAACATTTTATTTTTATGGAATCTGACTACTGATAGATACTTGCACAAACTACCTCCAATTATTTTGGCTAGTTAACAATCAGAGCAAAACGGGAATGTGAAGTCATTCGTATGGAAACAAGTATGTTGAAAAGAAACATTTATTGTGATATGACTTCAATGTAAATGTTAGATGTATTCAAAATGTCCATTATTTTCAATAGATGTCTCTTGTAACTGGAAAACATGTTGGACATTAAAGTGAGATGTAATAATAATTTCATTAAACTGAATGAAGTTTTTAAAAGAAACACCCACCTGTAGATTTCTCCTGTTGTAATGAAGTCTGCACACAACTGGCTAGAATCACAGATAGAATACACACACACCAGGTAAGTGCCATGATATATCACACAATATCAGCTACCACATCCTCGTATACAATCCCATGAATTACTGCTATAACATCCTTGAGATGATCAAACTGAAAAAGAAAGAAATAACATCAGTAACCAGACACAAATATAACAAAGTTAGCAAGACTCATGGTTTAATTAAATTCTTACAAAAAATTCCTATGTGGTCACCCATCTATTTCTGATACATGATATGGAGGGGCACATTCCATGGTCTATCACTGTATCCAATTAACCCTCCTGTGTGTGCCTCCTCCTATCACCTTATTAACCCTTCCTAGGTGGTATTCCCAGTCAGTAGGGGAGCCAGACATGGGGATGTTCTCAACCCAGCTTAACACTTTAATTAATCATGCATCCCTGCCCCCAGACCATCCTACATCTTCAAAGTCCATCACAGTCACTCCAGATGCCAACACAGACCCTCTGAACATGCCACATATAGACATCATTTGCATAAATATCCCACAAAAGCCCTCACCTGTAGAATAAGAACAATAAAAGGGGAATATATGAATATATTACATGCCAGAGAGGGAGAGATTTTCATTCACAAATCTATGGTCATCCTGTGATTCATAGGAAGGTTTTTTGGTATTTTGACATGGATGACGGCCACATCTCAATGTGTGTCACACACCAACATCCACTGTGGCAGCAGCACAAACACCATGAACATCACACTGCACATGCATTTGGTGTGCAGTGATCACTGTCACCATCATGAAATACATCACTTCCAACATGTTCACATTCCTCTATAAATCTAAATCTTCTGGATAACCTTTATTCTCAAGAAACAAACCTGACATGTCTGTCACGCTAAGTAAGTCCTTAAAATCACTGAAATCTAAAAAAATAAATCTACAGGTTTTTAAAGGCAGTAATTATGTTGCTAATACCCTAAAAGCTTAATCCCTACCAACATACCAAAGGTTTGACAACCGTGCTAGCCAAAGTGTCTGCACAACTTTCTGAGCCCACCCATTGGCTACTAATCACTTCTGCCCCCTACCGGCATGTGACCTGACTCCCTGCAGTGACCCTGACCCCTAGAGAGACCATGTGACCTCCAAACCACATGAAAGGTCTTAATCCCCTGTTCACACCTTGGACATCCTGTTTTGGTTTCTAATAAGCTTAATCATAGGTCTTTGATGTTAACATTAATTATCAAAAGTTTCAAATTTTAAAATGAATGAAATGTCTAAATCTTGAAAACATCCTTTGAACAATGTAACATTCATATTTCTTTCAGACCACATATGTTGAAAGTTCATAACCTACACATAAAAACCATTTTGCATCCATTTACATTAATGCTCAGTACCCTGCCCCGTGGGTACTTATGTACAATAAAGTCTTCTTCTGATTTGCACAGCTATTGGATATCAAGCACTCAAACTAATGATGTTTCATCACAAACTCAACCAAGACTGCAAGCCGACAACACCAAATGTGTGCTGACCTCACTGGGTACAGAACAATGTTGTTCATCAATTCCAAGATTTCACAGATGAATCATCATTTTCTCACAAAAATTGTAAGTGGTTTACTTGAGCAGGGGAAACACACTGGTCCGAGCCAATTCCATACAAGCAATTCCTAACATAAACATGGCCAGCTTTTAAGCGACTAGAGAAATTTCACAGTTGACTTACTTTTCCCTGTTTGACCCAGTTCCTGAATCTTGAATGTTTTAAAATTTGGATCTCAACACCCTCCATAAATGTGGAAGCAATTAAATAGCTATGGATTCCTTGCCGGTTGTGAAGAGAACACACTGGCTTAAAAACAGGACCAATGTTGAAATTCCAACTGGAAGATTGGAAGCACTTGGGACTGAAATACTACTTTTTAAAACTGATGGTGTACATCCAAAATGCCCCGTGAGACAGACAAGAGAATCAGACATGATCGTCACTTGTAATGAGCAGCAAAGAATATTGTTTTCAGAAACCACGACAAAAAGCAATTACATGCTAGGGATGCAAGGTGAAACCAAATGCTGTTATATAACGAATATATTTACATTTTCTCAGAAAAAGAACTGAATGATATGAAACATGACACGGGGACTGACATGCAACCTATCAGAGAGTGACAATGTGACATCTTCTGTGTGTTTAACTGTATGTGAAGGAGAAGGAACAGAAGTTGTGTGATAACCACTATATCACCCAAGAGCTTGTGGTCAAACAGTCCATTCTTACCACTTCCTCTTACATAACTCATACCTATGCAGTCATTATATAATACATAGCCTCCAGTCACAAGTGCTTTATTGTCCTATTTATCATTATGGCCCGTGACATAACAATTATATTCAATCCATATCCCTAGTGGATAGAGATACAGAAATGATACAGTTAAGGATTGTATGTGCTGAATAATAATGCATCCAATGACAAGTGCCTATATTGGATGTGATATATATATAAGAACGTCATACATTGTCCTACTATAGGAAGATATAAACTGTGACTACATTCTTTATAATTTCAAGGTCCTATACATCTCTGACAGTAAATAATTTTTCTGACAATGCATACCTTTCAGGTGAACCTAATAATCTTCAGAAACTCCAGGTCTAGGAAAAAGTTATCAAGTTGAAGTCAGGAAACTAAATGATAGTCACCTTTTGGGTCTGGTTAATTTATCACCCATGGGTACTCAGAGCAATTAAGAAATTAACATGTCAACAAAGGGAGAGTGTTTTCATGACAGTTAACAGTGGAGATAATTGATAAGTCAACAATACACCATTGTATCCCTAGTGTCTCTGTGACAGCTACCCTAATTAATCAACAATCTCTGGGTGGAAATGTTACATAAACGGTCCAAGTTCAAAGGTGCGACCGTTTGACACTAAACAAAAGATTAATTAGCTGTAATGATAAACATGTGGCAATAAACCTTGTTTAGGTTACCCTCTATATTGTTCTTGTACAGGTTGAGGTGTTTTCTTTGTAACTGGAGAATGGTTTTACAGGTGAGAAAATCTTATCTGTCTCTGAAATAGCCTTCTCCAATAAACAGAGAAGGCTCAAGAATGTTTCCTCTTTCAGTAGGAAGTACATTTTTAGTAAATACACAATATTTATCTCATGTATGTCAGATCTTTAAATAATGTTTGGTGTGATATTAGGATACTTATGATGTGAATTAGTGTACTAGCATTGCTATTGCATCATACCATAACATACACCACCATAGTGTAACAAAAAGGTTTAAACTTTACTACATCACATGAGTGGAAAAGACAAGGCCATCTCTTGGCTCCTATTGCTTTTACTGTTGGGAAGGCACCTGTATGAGGTAGTATGCTATATTGGGGCAAAAAGATTGCGGGCTAGACCACATGAACAAGGATACCACCCTTTGTATTTGTATTTCCTTGGCTTTGTTTACTGGGTTTAAGGGACAAAGATGTGTTCTGTCTGAATGCTAAGGTCTGTAAACATGACTGTCCCCTCGAGCACCCTATTCAAACATACTGGACTCAATTCCAACTGGCCTATCAAATGGAATGCAAAGCCACTGCTTCCAACAAGAGCAATTTTAAAGTAAAAATATTTATAAACACTCAGGTTACCCAAGAAATCAAATTTAAACTGAAGTGTTTTGTATTTTGGTGCAGGTATTCTGTAGAGAAACAATACCACACCTACACTGTATGATCTTTATTTTGGAATATTCTGCTAAACGAATTCTAAACATTCTATGTAAAAAAGAATACAAAAATATCCTGCAACCCTCCTAGGCCCCAGATATATATTTACATCATTATCAACAAGATTTTGGATTTCAAAATTCAATTATGCACTTGTTCAATTTAGCATGGTACACATTCAACACTCTATACATTCTCTTTCCTGTCTTGAGTTTAGAAAACAATTCAACAAAGATGGTATCTTAAGCGGAGTAAACTTACCTACCATCAGCTGTTGGGCACAAAATGAGATGAATACCTGCATACCAATTTCATGATTCACAATCAAATGACATTCCAGTGTTTATTGTTAAGGAGACATTTCGAGGTGGGCAACATTCTTCCAATAAGGAAATAGCCCACAATACTATAAATGCTATTGATGAAACATTATTTCACTGTAAATGTTTTCCATGGCTGATTAAATCAGTGTAGCATGGTGTCTGCGAGAGAATGCAATTGTGACCAACTGGTTAGAATTCATTTCAACAACAAAGGCATCTTTTATTGATGTGAGCTCTACCAGTTCCTGACTCATAAATCTTTATCATTACATTTTCAGGCCAGAAATGGCCACAGGAACAGATTTGAACAATTTAGAACCATTTAAACAGAAGCCTTTCAGTTTCACAGAACTATCCCTTGCAGTGTATAGCCAACCTGATGGGGAGTTGAAAACAGTAAACATTGTGCAATTTGGCAACATTTAAGATTTTAATGGCAAAGTATCCTCCAATACCATCATCTCATTACAAACAAAAGCAGAAAAACAATAATTGCTGAGGAATGTCAGAGGCACATTCATCTGAAAGAACAGGAACACTATTTTCTCGGCTGACAAGGGACAATCTCTACCACATGCACGATCATTTTTATTCCTGGTAAACCTTTCACAGAATGCCAAATTATGATAAGTGTTACTTTATATAAAGCCTCGGTGTCTCCTGCCAATAGCGGGAAATCTGTGCTAAATATGTTCCTTCAATGGTGACCCTAATCTAGTTCGTTTTCTCTCCAGCTAGTCAATACAAAATCTAAGAAGGCCATACTGGATAGTTTCATGTTATAAACATATATGCAGTGTGCGAAATAGCCACTGGCCCGCTAGCCTGTGGCTAGTAAAAATCCAGTCAGGGCAGTTGCTGGCCTGACTGGCTACTGAATTTTCATGAATTTAGATTTGTTTTTGATGGTATTTTACCTTTTGTACTCTTAGTTTCTACATTCAAATTTCAGGCTAGTGAATTATTTTGTGGGCTAGTAACTTTCAGGCATGGCTAGCACCATGGAATTTGGAAACTATCTGCATACCTCATATATGTCTGACTGTCTGAGTTTAGTTTAACGCCACTTTTAACAATATTCCAGCTACATCAAGGCGGGGGAACACCAGAAATGGGCTTCACACATTGTACCCATGTGGGGATTCGAACCCGGGTCTTCGGTGTGACGAGCCAACGCTTTAACCACTAGGCTACCCCACTGCCCCCCTCATATATGTAATATATACACATTCCTCCTCGTCTCTAAAATGAGCTGTTCACTAGAAAAACTACCTACTTTTCACTAAGAGTGTCAGAATGCATCACATTGTCATGTCAGGAGTATCATGAGTTTCCATCATTGGCTTATTCATATTAATAATGAATATAACTGTTAATAAATAATTTTGAAAAATTTTGTATAAAAAAAAGATATTCTTCCAAGCCATGCTAGCTAGTGCTGTGGAAATAAGATATCACTCACTAACTGAATACCTGTCATAATTTTTTTTAAAAAAAACCTATCATATCCGCAGAAAAATGTCATGCTTGTTACTATAGTTCATCATTTTGAATCTAGTATTATAGTCACGCTGATTAGTCAAAACATGACAGGCTTTGATGCTACTGTCTCACTTGACTACTGAAACAGATACTATATACTGCCCAGTATTTCACAAGAAACATACGCGTGTCTTACAAGATGTGTGTGTTACAAAAAGATAGCGCCACTATGTTATTGTTTTTCGTAACAAAAGCTGAGAAGACGAAAGAAATCTTGACAAACCAAGATAAACCAGCGATGTGGAGAGTACCCTGACAACATCATCCTCAACCGGAGGTCTCAGGATACAATAGGCACAACCTTATCTCCCTTCTTAACTCTGAACTCAGTAGACAAGGTGACCTACACCATACATTCGGGGAATATGAAGAAAGGGACAATCTAAAAGATGCAAAACATGAAACTACAAGGACCCATGGTGATATAATGTGGAGACTCAGGTATCTAATGATAGGATACCAGATGCTGAGATGGCAATATATCCCAATCTGGGTGTCCTCCTGCTCTCCGCGATCTGTTCTGGTCACGAAGGTGGGGTCACTCGGCAACTTCAAGAGGGTTTATGTGAGGGTTTGACCTAGCTTCTTAACAAAGAATGGAGGTGTGAATGAAATTCCAGCCATGGAAGTCAATTTGTGGGCAGTAATGGGGTGACATTTCTTAACACTAGCGTGTTGAAAATGTATTTGAAAATAACTTGAAAATGTATTTTCCTAAAACCTATATATTTACCTACAGCATAGAATATAAGGCAGGAAATTTGGTTCATTGATTTCACTGTCATCCGTGTCCTCAGCAAGAAATCAATGTTAAATAAATTTATGTAAAAGAAGGAAAGATAATCAACATCCAAAATTCACTAACTGCAGATAAAATTCTGATTTGAAAAGACCTATATATTCAAACAAGTACAGATATCAAACATGCTAAACAAAAAATCTAAATACCTTAACCCACCCAGGAAGAACCCTGATAGTCTCCAGTGAGACAACTTTCAAAATGTCAGAAAACAATTATTTTTGTAGGATCCACAATCGCTTTTTCTATCATCAGAAAAATACCTACATTGTAAATCTGTCACAAGTTAAAGTGAGATTATGACCCCAGTAATAACAGACACATACTGGATAAGACCTACGTCTTCACCATCCCTTAAAAAATAGGGTAGACCAGTTTTATCACAGGTCAAGAATCGTTTCCTCACTAAATGGAGGGTGAAAGTGATTCCATATCTCGCCGATCAAAGCAAAAGTAATTTTGATGATGTGAACACATGGCACTTGTCCTCATGCTGAAGATCATCGTGGCAGCATACCCAGAGATATAAACACACCACGACAGGACCAGTCAGTGTCAGATCTGCCAGTCTAACATAATGTTGACAATATGGATCAATAGGAGTTACATTCAACTTGTTTACATGAAAATATCATGTTTCAGAATTATATTTCTGTTTTTCTCCTGTGGGAAAAGATCTACAGCTCACTCTTTGACCAAATGAGACACACATGTCTTTAAAGATGATATTTAGTTTCCCTTAAATTGAGGCTTTTTTTTTTTATTCCACAAGTTACCATTTTCAGCAGTCTGATAACCATTTACTACAATACCAAGAACACTGTGCTATCTGATGGTATCCATTATCTAGAATAATGTGATTCTGAAGGTTACTTCTGTTCAAAAAAGATAATCTGGTAAGTTTACTATTTCAGATCCCCCCAAATAAATTATCGGGGGTTAATGTATTGGAAAACACAAATAATTATAGAATACTGCAGCTTGATTGAAAGGCATGACAGATGATGGGTGAATCAACATGTGCACAACGCCAGGGTCGTAACCAGGTAATCAGGCAACATCTCGCGTAATCCACGATTAATGAAGATGATGAAGATGTCGTGAGTACCTCCGCCCAGTAGGGGACCCCTTCTGGGGGGATCTGGCTTCCTCAGCACAGGCCCTGGTGTATTTACAGCCTGATTACTTATCTAGTTAAATGGCTCATGCTCCCCATAAACATCATATAAGAAAGCTTAAGTACCAATTAGGGTCATAAGGCTTAAAAAAAGTTTAGTTTGGTTCCAGCTATTGTAGAAATCTAATATGTGGGATAAAATTTAAAAAATTCAAATGTTACCTTATTTCCAAGGATACATTTCAACTATATAGATTATATTATAAGAGTGTTTGAAATTAGGGGGTGGGTCCTGGGGTCTTTGAACCTGAAGTTTTCTAATCTGGAGACCCCATAATATTAGTTATTACTAGCAATTAGGACTGTGATCACTTAGGATTGTGATAAGTACAAGTGATTTTAGTGGTAACTTCTGAACACTTTCAGCACTGGTCACAAGGGGTGTTACAGCTAAGATTCTTCAGGGATTAAAAGATTATAAATTTCTTTCAGGTCAAAACATATTTTAAGTTTTGATTTTTATTTATGTTTTAAGTGTAACGGTAATACACACTAGTCTATGATTGTGTTTTTTCTCCATTTTTTCAGAGTATTGTCTCAACAAAATTGTTTGGCAAGTTGACGGAAAGCAGTATGTAAGTGTGCACATGTTCCAGTTTCCCCACTCCTTCAGCCTTCCACTGCCAACATTTCAACATGGCCACAAGCTCAGTACAATCAATAAGGATTCCTTATAATTCACATGGTTCCATAAATCAACCTAAAGTCTTGCCATTTGTCTATCTGGAACTGTTAATGTTTTCAAGAATAAATTATCTGTAAACATAGACAGGAAATGGGACTAAAGCTACCCTGTCAGAGGCTGGGTCAAACCAGTGACAAATCTGGCCCCTGGGTTGGTGGGGAAAGGAAGCTGGCTTAGATTCTTTCCCAAGGAATTTTAGGAGAAGCGTAGAAGAGGCCTGGGGTGGATGTACCAAGATGCGGGTAACAGCCTACAGTGACACTAATGTCATACTGTTTAAAAAAACCCAGTATTGTTAACCATAACCAAAATACATCGGTGAACTTTTTCTTGGTATATTAGACAGGTGTACAGATGTCCAAACTTTTTAACAGTAAATTTAAACCATCTCCCCATGTCAAACCAATATTGTTTCAACAACTTAGGGTCAATTGTTTCTAGATGTTTCTCAGATACAATAATGTGTAAAGGTATTTGTTTCTTCATTAACCAATTAATTTAATACCAAGTACGTTTCTTTACAGAAATGGGTGAGTATTTGACAAAGCAAACACCACTTTAAGGCAAAGAATGAAAGTAAATTCACTGATCACAACCACTACAAACTTTGGCAAATTGTGATGCTATTCTTACTGCTATTCCCTAACAAGCACCTGCTAACATGACTCCAGTCCCGAGCCTAAATTCTGAACTAGAGGATGCAGCTTCTAAACAACTTTGATGTAATCCAAATGCTAGAAGCTTGGTGGACCAGGCCTACAGGAAACTACCTATATAGTTTATCATCTCTTTCCTACATCTGAGAGTAATTAACGCGCCCCTCCGCCAATCACAACTTTCCCTGCCTCTAGCCCTCCCCTTCCCCCTTACTCTCTAACCTGACTGGTTGGCACCCCCTCCTCTCCTTCCATACTGAGAGAGAACTTCTACCGTCCACTCTCATAGGCTAAAGACTCCTTGCAACTTAGAAAACTTGGCTCTGCTGGATTCCAGCCAATATTGGCACTTATTTGGTGTTCCAAATTGTGGTATAAACTAAGTTTTCTTTTGACCATTATCTTAGGAAGATTAAACATTTACATTAATGTAATTAAATTTTATTACATATAATAGATTTAATAGAAATTGCTTTGATAATCTTGAAAATTCATGAACATTTTCTCCACATGATCAGTGTAGTCCGAAGGCTGCTATCTTTACAGAACATACAAGATTCAAGTTTCCTCTGAAAACAAACTGGATAGATTTGACTTGCTGTGTGCCATGTTGGTTCCGTTGCCCTGAGCCATAGTTTGTATAAAACTGGCAGGGTCTCTCACTGTGTTTGCATTCTCCACAAATCTAACTAAATAAGCCTGTCACTTGATTCAGCTTTTACATAATGCACAGGTTTAACTGCAGAAAATCTTTTACTTTCATTGAATAATACATTCTTCCAAACAAACTTAAGATCTATAATTTAGTTAAAATACCAAATACACATACCAAAGGCTAAAAAGTAGTTTACATATTTAAGCCATTAAACACTTTAATCTGATCATTTTGCGAAAACTGATAACCTAAAAAACAAGAGATGACAAATGGATCCTCAAAAGTAGTCCAAATTACCAGAAGATCCTCAACACTGTTTGTAAATTCCAATCCAAAGATGTGTTCATCAGATGACTTGTATAATCCTCGATCACAAAAACAATCCATGTGTTGAAAAACTGAGCTTTATCAGAATATTCTGTAAAACTCACACATAAAATCCAAGTCCGACTTTCAGAGCCATCTCGGGGCACAAGCAACAAGTGATGGTGGTAGCCAGTAGGGTCCCCGCGCTGTGTCAACAAACCCAGTAGTATGACCCCTTTTCCCGCGCAAATCACAATCTACTGACCAACTAGAGGCCTGAGAAAATATTTCCTTTTCAACATAAAGGACATTCCCTTACAGCAGATTGCCAGTGTGGTTTCTATTCACGTGTGTATGTACGTTAATATGCAGAATAGTGAGGTAGAGTTGAAACTTGGACGCCGAAATACACACAGTAAAATCTTGATAGTATTTAGAACGATGTTATGTTATTTTTATTGTGTATCGATGTATTAACATTTGATAAGATATATAAGATTATTAGTGTATCTTGCACGTTTTAACTTACGTAAAAAATAAATTGAACTTCATGTATGTATGCTCATAAGCAAATGGAAGATTGAATGAGTATAAAGCAATGGCAGCATTTTCTAAGCACATTCTAAATATCAAGGATGGGTAGATTTAACCCCCCACTCACCCACATTACAGCATTCAGCCACCCCGTTTGACATTGCAACGCTTGGGTGCTCGCGTCTAGAAGATGATACGAAGTTCGATCGCATCAGGGGACAAAAGCCCGCAAGCTAGGCCCCTGAACTTCGCTTTTGATAGTTAACATGTCATACGAAGGGACAGTCACAAAGGAGATTCGAATCCCGAGGTACCCCCTTAAACACACCCTTTTAACATAGCGGTGAAGAAATATTTGTTTACTTTGGAGGACCAAGCGGGCACCTGCTCAACTTCAAAACTTTTGAAACTTTGTTGTCGTTTAACAACTTCGCGATCTGTGTCGTCTGCCTCATCGAGTCAAAATGTTCTCTCACACAAGTACAACTTCCTTTTTTCACTGGATATGTTGTGCTATGATAAGAGATATCACAATTATTTTACAAGACATTTTCACCGAGATCTGTGTAGCACCCACTGACGAAAATCAATGCTCCCCGGTCTGCAACCCTGTCAAATTCCTAAGCATGCACTCATGAGCAACTTTTGTAACACAATAACTTCCAGTAAAATCTACAAACAGCATCAGCGTAACGTCTCACAACGTTTTAATCCATAACTTTGACAACAAGCAAGCTTTCACAGCCACCGTGGCCGAACTCAAGGACCGCATGGGCCAGCCTCGCCTACTTGTGTATCGGCATTCGAGGATATTATACGTGATTTTTGTCCCTTTAAATCGGTGACATCGAGTGGATTTCTCAACGTCACCGCTTCAGACTTGCTCACAAAACTTACCTAACTGTTCGTTACTCCATGAATATCTTGCACACAAGTAAAGTCCGTTAGAATCCGATTCTAATACACGAAGTCCGAGTTTCACCCTACCTAAGTTCCGTTATATCCCGTGTATCTCCACGACTATTTCGCTTGAGCTTTCTGAGGATCGTCACGTGATCACCCATTCAAAGCAACAGACCACGTGACCCCCCGAGTGAAAGACGCCATGGAATAAAGGGGGATGCAGGGGTCGCTCCCTTACACAGGAAATACTCATATCTAGATTAAAACGTGAAAAGTGACGCGACGCTGGGATAGATTGTCTATACATAAGCATTGTCATGTACCCGGCGCCTAATTAATTTAGATAATTAAAAATCTCATTAAAGCTTTCAGATTAATTATAAATTGTCGGCGACGTCTAAGCATGTATTAAGATTTGCATGGGTTTTTTTAAAAAAAGAATAGTTTAATTATGAAAAAAAAAGACATATATATTTTACGTACATAATAACTGCACGCATAATCAATAACAGGAGTGCCTCGATTCCACATACCGAATATACATATCATATAATGGAAAAGGGAATAAAATAAGTTTACTACGATTAAACTACGAGTAATTAAAATTATCTAAATCTCTTTATCAAAGATATTTTAAAAATGGGTCTATTTCCTTTCCCCAAACCTACAACATTTCTGACGCGTATTGAAGATATGTACTAATATTATGTAACACAGCTGCACATTTGTAAATTCAAAACGGAATTTTAAAAGGAATTTCAACTACAGAAAGTTCATATAATAAACTACTACCAAAGGTTCATTCAGTATTTCGAAAGAAAAAGTCCATAGTTATCCATAGTCCATCCTACCTATATCGACCCTGGTCCGTCAATGTTCTCTGAAGTATTCTGTCACGAGTCTTAACCCATACGCCCCTGGCTAACTGTGTGTAATCACTTACCTGAGCGTAATAATTACAGGTAGGTATACAACTGTGTCAGGTAGAGGGTATTGTTTGTAGTTCTCGGTTAGACTTCTTCAAAGCGACTGACTAACTGCAACTCTTCAGGGCTGTTAACGCTCGGACATTTCCTGAGGGCACTTGTAGGCTTGCAATCTCCAATGAGAACGACGTAAGTAGTGGCAGTACCGCAGATGCATTCTTTGATTGTATAATCTCTTTAGTTCCCGTCTAAAACACTTCTCCCGTCTCATCTCACCGTTTGTTTGGAGACGTGTTTATATATAGGATTAGTTAATCCTGTCATTTGGTCTGACAATGCATGAGGATTAATACTGAATTGTCTGTCGGTAAGTGGATTAGTATCAATGACAAATTACTTTGTCCGACTGACGGCGTCCCTTAATTACACTGATGAAGAGTAAACACAGCTTGTTTTACTGTCTCCCCACGTTACAGGACACAGACGCTGAGTTCTAAGTAAATGCACATGGACACAACTTGAACACTGAATTGTGGGATTTATGTGATTATAAGGTTTATATAATGTCTACCTATATGGAAACACTTTTTATATCCAAAATTCAAGGTAAGTTAACGCCCCTCCATTCTTTTGGGTAGGGTGGTGTATTCCTTATTATAAACATTTTAATTTTTATATTGGCTCCCACCTACCCCGTCGGCGCTCCCACCTACCCCGTCGGCGACATTGGCTACAGCCAGAAGCCGACGTTAAACTTGTAAATTCATTCATTCGGATACACTTGCATCTGTTGTAATGCATTGCACACAAACGTCGATTTTACAGTTATTTTAAAATACCCCCCGTTACAAATTGTTTGATCGGCATAATAGAAGTTGGTGAGTCAAAGATGAAACATAAAACTTTATGAATGACAACTTCTTATTTACTGTATTTATTGCAATAATAAGTTGTCATCCATAAAGTTGTATGCTTCATCCCCGTTACAACATACCCCTCAAAATGTTCACAAACAAGCAAAAATCCTGTCAGAAAGAAATCCGGGTTGCTCGCCAAGTACACCATTGCCATTTAATGCAGCCTCCCTCGCAGACAACTTGAACTAATCTGACAATCTACAAACTTTTACATTTAGTGGCTAAATATGTAACAAACGAGAAACGATGTATTTGATACTGGTATCATCGGCTATATCACATGCATGCTATCTATCCTTGGTATCTGACATCAGATGACGTGTACATGTCCCAGGGAACACAGGGGTTCTACATCTTACAGTAACCAGTGTTAGTTTTTCTCAATTGTATATACTTATATTCCCCGGGTTTTCGGCGCGACCATCGACCACGTTAACCACTTGGCTACCCCTACAGTGTAGGCGTTGGTGATTATTAAATATATAATATAACGCTGTATAACGCACATACGCACGCAAGCAGGCATGCGCTCGCACAAATCTTGTGTTTATTCAGTAAAGTTTCTCCACTGTTCGGAAATCTCAACAAGTGCTCAAAACCATAACCATTGTCCACGTGTAACATATTTATGTTTGATGATATATTCGATGTACCGGGCATGTTTTATGCATTCGACACCCTGACCTCCATCGATAATTTCAACAACCATTCGAAAATAACTCCATGTAAACGAAGATTCATTATTTTCACAAGACATGAAAATATACATCGCCGACACATGCCTTCGTTGCATGTTCGCGGAATTGTGCATTTAGCGAGAGGTGCATTCAGGTTTCACTGCACTACAATACAGAAACTACGATAAAACAAGCTGTAATGTGAAAGATTCTGCTTGAATATTAAGAACAAATACTATATGCACCTTTCATTAAATAAAATAACCACTGACAAGTTTAAAAAGGACGATTTTTATGGAGAAAATCTAAGGGCAAGAGAATGACCTTCGATGAATTGGGTACGATATGCCTGCACTGACTTAATCTACATCTTGCGTGTGTTGAAGTATTTTAAAATGCTTCACGAAAACAACTAAAATCAGCTTTTCCGACACATTTCAACTTTATATGTCCAAGTACATTTATGAGTGTAATACATGTTAGAATGATGAAAGTCTGCACCCAATTTACCAAAGAAGCCTGTGATAACGTGCTAGGTTATTGTTATTACTTTCCCTTGATGGGTCTGGACAGCTCATTTGTGTTGAAGTGATCGTCAGTTTACAAAGTATTTGGAAATTACGTAAAAAGAAAACGCGATCAATAACTGAATACACTCCACCAGAGGAAACTAAATCCATATTTGAATTGCTCACAGGAGACCATCCAAAGTTAATTAAGATTTTATTATATTTTGTAATACCACTGTAAAGAAGTTACAGAAAAACAGATTCTTTTATTTAATTATAGTTATATCCTTCATGACATGAAATGTAATAGAAAAGAAAGGGGAAAATACTGGAGTGGTATATATCCATGATGGAACATTCTGGATTTGTTTTGCATTCATGTGACAACATCACGTGTAGGTAACACCGGAGACCTTCCAATAATATCAGACCTCAGCTATCTCCAAAACAGGAGTTATCCTACAGAATACCTTGTACAGGCCAAAGGACTTCCAGTATACTGCACAGCGTAACGTATAGACGATAACAAGGTGTAAATAACACCTTTTTGCAAAGTCTTAACCAATTTGAGGAAGTGTCTCCTAACCACAAGGGTGAGGGTATGGGTAGTGACACGAGATGGAGATTATGTGTTCGAACACAGAACTTACATCAGTGGTAAACCAACCCCAGATGGCACGGCGTCAGACTCACCAGGAACCCAGCTGCCACACATGGTTGTTGTCGGACCAAAGTCAGGAGGCTTGGCAGCAATGGTGTTCCCATGAAGTTTGTCACTTCGAATGCGTATAAAGCTTGGTTAAACCTAAAAGGTAATATAATTTATTAAAAATAACAGTTAAAAAAAGATAATCAATACAAAAAATCTGCGAAAGACAGGTTAGCAAGAGTCAGAGACCGGAAGTCGATGGGTCTTCCTTCATCAATTAATGACGTTGTAAAACAAAGGTAAAACAAAGAATCAAGTTAGCATTGAATTCAATTTCTTGGATAAATGATAAGCAAATATACGTACACAACAATAAATCAATGTTTGTATTTCGGAATATGTTTTATGATTAGATATTACGTGCAAGTAAGCGCGGAGGTAGGAAACTGTTTACCCACAAATTAGTAACTGAGATGGTAGATTGAATTCAGAATAAGTGGTATCTGTAATATTAGACATGACATCGGTTTATGAGCTGCTGTCATGTGCCAAGAGCAAATACCGACTCCCGTGTTTGGCCGCCATACAAGCAACTAATGTTTCTGTATCTGGGAAATTAAAGAGATCCATATTACCTACAAACCTTCACCTTTCAGAAAAACAATAGCCTCAGGGACCTGAACTCAGCTATCAAGATATTTATGCAGTGATAGACGAGGTTTGCCCTGAGTATGGGGATGTTAAATAATTATATTTAATACTAGTACCCGTACAAACCAGGGTGTGTTTTTATTTCCCTGTACTGTTAAGATGCACCTTGCCATCTTCGTGGAACCCTGTATACAATCTATAGACTCTCAGACCTGTCCCCGTGTCCCACTGTACAGCCGAGACTCCATCAGACTGACAGTCGAATATTGCCGACATGTTCTTTTTGAAGTATAATTATTAACTACTCGTTGATAATAATTTCCTGTAAATTAGTTTCACCTTTGATGGCTCGTTGTTTGGAATCACGGATGAATTGATGGCTTGGAGCAGACACTTATTTCCTGGTGTATTTAGCGCTTTAAAAACATGCATAGTCATTATCATTATTATTTATTATTATTATTATTTTGTATGTTCCTTCCAACAATGAAGAAGTAACCATTGTTGAGACTGTTGAACATTAAGTGCGACAAAACCGTAACACATTCATAGTAATTCTCCGCTAAAAGCGGAGTCGGCAAACCGACAAAACCTTTCCATAGTCACAAGTACCATCTGCTAAGCGGACAGTCGATTGTACAATTCTGACTATATCACACGCGTGATATCACTATCAAACAGTGATGATACCAGATGGTTGCGAAAGGATAAACGTATCCTGCGCCACCAGTGGCACCAGTCACAAACACATGCAAAGGCATGTCAATTGTTCCCCTAAAATGACCTGGGAATATATGCTGATATTAGTGATGCGTCGAATTTGGAAATGAGCTACTCATATTTACCATAAATCAAGGACGTGAATCTATGGATTATCTGGTCCAGCAAGCCAGACGTCATGTAGCTGGAATACTGCTTAGCGCAGCAAACAAATCAAACAATCAAAGAAAAGAAAAAAACATTTTGGAAAAGTTGATTTACATAAATGTTGCAACCCTGATCCACACAATTCGTCAATACATCTTCTTTTGCAATCTTCGTAAGAGTATGCTGGGCTGTACGTAAGTCGGGAAATAACGCTGATGGAATATTATCAACAAGAAAGACGTTTGGAGACGTTTAGTCATCCTTCGTGTCATATTGCCTCGGGAGAGCTTTTTGTACCTCTGAATCCTTGTGTATAGGTCTGTATAAGTCTGTATGTGTAGGTCATTGCCCAGTGTCTACCTATACAGGATTCTTCAAGGAGACCATGCTCTGTGGTCCGGTGCCCATGTTCTGCCTCGGTTGTTCTATATCACACACGTGAAATGTAGTATACATAATAACGTACGTTGGAACCAGTCGACCAAGGATCTGTAATTTGAGGGACCTAAATCCAATCTGCTGGGACTACCAATTAACCCAGCATCACCGTGTCTCTGAGGAATTGCTCACTGAGTGCTACGGCACATACCTACCCCTTTGGCGAACACCTGGTGTCAACACTGATTTTCCATTCATTTTTCACTACAAGTTTGCTTTTTTACTCTTTTGTCTGTTTCTCCATATAACTGATTATCATCTTTCAGTGATGTAAGACATTAGCGAAGATGTTTTAGAGAACTCTTGTGAAAGTAGTTCATATCATTTCTTGTACTTACGATTTTGACGTCATTCTTAAACTCTTAACGGCTGTGTTACGCATTTTACCCCTAATGCAAAGTGTTTTGTTCGATATAACAGACTGGTTTTCTCTGGCGTTGACAAAGGGGCCGTGGGGTAGCCTAGTGGTTAAAGCATCCGCTCGCCACGCCGAAGGCCCAGGTTCGATTCCCCCACATGGGTACAATGTGTGAAGCCTATTTCTGGTGTCCCCCGCGGTGAAATTGCTGGAATATTGCTAAAAGC